TTCCAGTCTCTGCCTTGTTGGCTACCGGTCTGGTGCACCACCATCTCGTCCGAAACAAGTGGAGATCGCTTGCCGCCCTGGCAGTTGAAACTGCTGAGGCTCGCGAGGTCCACCACCACTGTGTTCTGCTAGGATATGGTGCCGATGCCATTAACCCTTACCTGGCGCTAGAATGTATTCTCAAGATGAACCGGGAGAAGTTGATCCGCAAGGACATCCCCGATGAGAAGGTTGTTCAGAACTACAAGTCATCCTGTGATGGTGGTATCCTCAAGGTCATGAGTAAGATGGGTATCTCTACTCTCCAGTCCTACAAAGGTGCCCAGATTTTCGAAGCCCTTGGCATCGACGACAGCGTTATCGATCGCTGCTTCTCTGGTACTGCTAGTCGCATCCGTGGTATCACATTTGATCTGATCGCCCAGGATGCTTTCGCCTTCCACGAGCGTGGGTACCCTTCGCGTCCAATTGTCGAAGTTCCCGGTCTGCCCGAATCCGGCGAGTACCACTGGCGTGATGGAGGAGAGGCCCATATCAACGATCCCACTAGCATTGCCAACGTGCAGGATGCCGTTCGCACCAAGAATGACAAGTCCTACGAGGCCTACGCCAAGTCCGCACATGAACAGATCAAGAACTGTACTTTGCGTGGAATGCTGGACTTCGATTTCGACCAGCGTACGCCTATTCCCATTGACCAAGTCGAGCCTTGGACCGAAATTGTCCGTCGCTTCGTGACCGGTGCCATGTCCTACGGATCCATCTCCATGGAATCCCACTCGACAATTGCCATTGCCATGAACCGCTTGGGCGGCAAGTCCAACACTGGCGAGGGTGGCGAAGATGCCGAGCGTAGCAAGAGAATGGAGAACGGCGACACGATGCGATCCGCCATCAAGCAGATTGCTTCTGGTCGATTCGGTGTGACATCCAACTACCTAGCCGACGCCGATGAACTGCAAATCAAGATGGCCCAGGGTGCCAAGCCCGGTGAGGGTGGTGAATTACCTGGCCACAAGGTCGTCGGCCCCATTGCTCGCACTCGGTTCTCCACACCGGGAGTCGGTCTTATCTCCCCGCCCCCGCACCACGATATCTACTCCATTGAAGATTTGAAGCAACTTATCTACGATCTCAAGTGCTCTAATCCTCGAGCTCGTGTCTCCGTCAAGCTCGTATCTGAGGTTGGTGTTGGTATTGTCGCCTCTGGTGTGGCCAAGGCCAAGGCTGATCACATCTTGATCTCTGGTCATGATGGTGGTACCGGTGCCTCGCGCTGGACCGGTATCAAGTATGCCGGTCTTCCATGGGAATTGGGTCTTGCAGAGACTCATCAAACTCTGGTTCTGAACGATCTTCGTGGTCGTGTTGTGGTCCAGACTGATGGCCAAATTCGTACCGGCCGTGACCTTGCTATCGCCTGTCTGCTTGGAGCGGAAGAATATGGGTTTGCCACAACTCCTTTGATCGCATTAGGATGCATTATGATGAGAGTGAGTACATTCAGTCTTTGATTTCTTGACGAGCGGCCTACTAACAAATATATTTCCCCTAGAAATGTCATTTGAATACCTGCCCTGTTGGTATCGCGACTCAGGATCCCGAACTGAGGCAGAAATTCAAGGGTACACCGGAGCATGTTATCAACTTCTTCTACTATGTCGCCAACGAGATGCGTGCTATCATGGCCAGGCTGGGTATTCGTTCAGTCAACGAGATGGTCGGTCGTGCTGAGCTGCTCAAGGTTCGGGACGATATTCGTAATGTCAAGCAGGAACGAATTGACCTGTCACTCATCCTGACACCCGCTCACTCACTTCGCCCTGGAGTCGCTACCTACAATGTTCGCAAGCAGGATCACCGCCTCCACACCCGCTTGGACAACAAGTTGATTGCTGAATCGGAGCTCGCTCTCGAGAAGGGTCTACCTTGTCGAATTGAATGTGATATCGTTAACACCGACCGTGCTTTGGGTGCTACTCTCTCCTATCAGATCAGCAGACGTTATGGCGAAGCTGGTCTTCCTCAAGATACCATCCACGCGAACATTAAGGGCTCTGCTGGTCAGTCCTTTGGTGCCTTCCTCGCCCCCGGTGTCACCCTTGAGCTTGAAGGTGATGCCAACGACTATGTCGGCAAGGGTCTCTCTGGTGGCCGTCTCATCGTCTACCCCCCGCGCGGAGCCGCTTTCAAGGCTGAAGAAAACGTCATCGTCGGTAATACCTGTCTTTACGGTGCCACCCGCGGAACTTGCTACTTCCGTGGTATGGCTGCTGAGCGTTTTGCTGTCCGTAACTCTGGTGCCACTGTCGTCGTTGAGGGTGTTGGTGACCACGGATGTGAGTACATGACTGGTGGTCGTGTACTCAACCTCGGACCCACTGGCCGCAACTTCGCTGCTGGTATGTCTGGTGGTATTGCCTACGTTCTGGATAAGAACCAGGACTTCCATTCCAAGGTCAACTTGGAGATGGTTGAGATCTCCAGTATCGAAGACCCATCGGAGATTGCCTTTGTTCGTGGTTTGGTTGAAGACCATCACCATTACACTGGCTCTGAGTTGGCTGCTCGCATCCTGCTCGACTTTACTCGTGCTCTCCCCCACTTCGTCAAGGTTCTGCCAACCGACTACAAGCGCGTCATGGAGGAAGAGGCTGCCAAGGCGGAGGCTGCGAAGAAGGCCGAATTCACTCTTCCTCAGCTTCCTAGCACTAAGGTCAAAGCCGAGAAGGCCAAGGCCGATGACTCCAAGAAGACTGACTTGCTGGATATTGAAGACAGCATTAGCGATTCGAAGACTGAGAAAAAGCGATCCGCATTGATCTTGGACAAAACAAGAGGTTTCATGAAGTACAGCCGCCGCAGTGAAAAGTACCGCAACGCAACAACCCGTACTCGCGACTGGGGCGAGATCTCCCACCGCCTCAGCGAGGACGAGCTCAAATACCAGTCGGCCCGTTGTATGGACTGTGGTGTTCCATTCTGCCAGTCCGACACTGGCTGTCCCATTTCCAACATCATTCCTAAATGGAACGAATTGGTGTTCCAAAATCAGTGGCAAGATGCTTTGAACCGTCTGCTCATGACCAACAACTTCCCCGAGTTCACTGGTCGTGTCTGCCCTGCACCCTGCGAAGGCTCCTGTGTTCTAGGCATCAACGAAGACCCCGTCGGTATCAAATCCATCGAGTGCGCGATCATTGACCGTGGATTCGAGATGGGCTGGATGGTTCCCTGCCCCCTAAGACCCGCTCTGGCAAGACCATTTCTATCATCGGCTCTGGGCCTGCTGGCTTGGCTGCTGCTGATCAGCTTAACCGCGCTGGTCACAGTGTCACCGTTTATGAGCGTGCCGACCGAATGGGTGGTCTTCTTATGTATGGTATCCCCAACATGAAACTTGACAAGAAGGTTGTCCAGCGCCGTATCGACCTCATGGCCGCCGAAGGTATCAAGTTCGTTGCAGGCACTGCTGTTGGCCCTGACTGCGAGGTTTCTCTGCAATCTCTCCGTGCCACAAACGATGCTGTCATTGTTGCCACTGGCGCCACTGTTGCGCGTGATCTCAAGGTCACTGGTCGTGAATTGGATGGTGTGCACTTTGCCATGCAGTTCTTGCATAAGAACACCAAGTCCCTCCTCGACTCTGGTCTTTCAGATGGCGAATACATCTCTGCTAAGGACAAGCATGTCGTCGTCATTGGTGGTGGTGATACCGGCAACGATTGTATTGGTACCTCTGTCCGCCATGGTGCCAAGTCGGTGACCAACTTCGAGTTGTTGCCCCAGCCTCCCCCAGAGCGTGCCCGTGACAATCCCTGGCCTCAGTGGCCCCGTATCTACCGTGTCGACTATGGTCACACCGAGGTCAAGACGCACATGGGCAAGGACCCACGTGAGTACTGTGTCATGTCGACCGAGTTCGTTGACGATGGCAACAACCGCGTCAAGGGCATCAACACTGTCCGGGTTGAGTGGGCCAAGAGCGCCACCGGCGGCTGGGACATGAAGACCGTCGAGGGCAGCGAGCAATTTTTCCCCGCTGACCTTGTCCTCCTATCTATGGGATTCTTGGGTCCCGAGGATCGTGTCTTTGGTGAAGATATTGAGCTTGATCCTCGCAAGAACATCAAGACTCCTCCCGGCCACTACTCGACGAACATTCCCGGTGTCTATGCGGCAGGTGACTGTCGCCGTGGACAGTCTTTGATTGTCTGGTGAGTTTTCGTCCAATTTTCTTATGACTAGCAATTTACTAATATAATTCCAGGGGTATCAACGAAGGTCGCCAGTGTGCTCGCGAAGTGGATTCTTTCCTCAGCGGAACCAGCTCCCAGCTCCCAGTCACCGGTGGTATCGTCCGTCGTCCTGCTATCGACTCTGTTCCCCAACCCACTGAGGTTGCTGCTTGAGTTAGCGGCGATGCGGGACATGTTTACGACTTTGACGGCCATTATCACAATAAAAGTTTCATTTCGATGCGGGAAAGTCCATCAAATGGGATAAACTTGAGGCATAGACTGGATTCCATGGTGTTGGTTCTCTGCGCGAATGAAAAAAAAGGCTTCAGTACTGCGCTTTCTTGAGTTTGGCTTTCTACGTTTTACTTTATTTTTTTTTTTTTTGCTTCAGCGTTTTTTTTTTCTTCCCCCAGGGTCTGCAAGGTGTTTAGAGCGTCTGCCATTCGGTGATCTCTCTATTTCTGCTGTACATAGCTTTTCTGCAAATCCGACTATGTTCCATCATTATTTCAAATTCGCCTACAAAGCTGGATGCCTCCTTTTCTTTGAGGCTCTCGATGTCTTTGTGAGAAAGAAGAGTCAACAATGTCTTTATGCTTCTTTCTTTGACAACTTCCCCTTGTTAAACTTGCATGGCTTTGATGGCTAAACTATATAACCGTCCTTATATCCCTTGCTTTTTCGGTCCATTCCATGCAATCATTTTAACTAATCCAGCTTACCTATTTCACAGATTCACAGGTCCTAGCCATCGCAACCATGGGCAACGAAGCCAACAAGACAACCGAGGCTGCGAGCGATCTCAATCCAAACGGCTTCATCACTGACCGCGAGGTCGACGGCGAGCGACGTTCCATCCGCCACTATAATGATGGTCGAGTATCGGGGCGCGGTAGGAGTGTCGAGGGTAGCCTACGAACAAAGATGCACAAGAACCCCACAGGGACCGGAGGTCGTGCCAGGCCTCTCACCTCCCATCCCGGGAACCTGGGCGGTCGATCTACTCCTGTTGCGTCCGGTTCATCTGATATCGCTGATATCACTGCCGCCATGGCCAAGCTCACTGTTGACCATCCCACTAGCCCTAAGGTAAAGAGACTCAGCAAAAAGTTGAACCTCGATGCCGATCCGAGGATTGAGACTGTAACTCTGCGAAAGGTCACTCCTTCATCTACGGCTAGTGTGGTCTCCTCTACGTGCAGCACGGGCAGCAATAGTTCTGTCAATGCTAGGATAGCGGAAATTGAAGATCGAGTAAGGAAGCACATTAAGACACGGCTCCAGTCTATAAAGGAGGAAGATGCACAGTAATAAAAGAACGAAGTTTGGATTGGGCAACTAGAGAATTGGAGAACATCACCTTGGTTACCTATCTTCCATTGAATTGCTGGATGCTAACTTGTCGAATTATTCTTAACAATAGGTCTTCCAAGCTTGCTCCACAGTTGAGCTTTTATATGCACGACGGCTACTCACAGCTACCCAGTCTATGCCCAATGCTATGAAAGAATATGAGGTAAGTATGGTTTGGGTTTCCTTTTTGATGTCCCGAGACATATCTATTGTGTCTACGGGCTAGTTATGAGCTCTTCGCTACCTCTTTCTTCTAATTTTTAGGTCATTCATTTATACGGCGTTTTTCAAGCATCCCTTGGGACGTTTTGACTCAATCAATCTACTTCAGCATTATTCAAATGTTCTCTCCCTTCAGTAATTTTATAGATCTTGGGGCATAGTTATAGAACCCACGTAAAGACATATCTGAGGAATTCCGAGCAGATAATACCATACAGTGTAACAAGAAACAGCTCTAAAGCGCTATATGCGGATCCGCAGGGTCCTCCATATGACCATCGAACAAACGCCGATACACAGAGGAAATGGAGAGTATCATATTATACATGAGTAAATGAAACAAAAGGGTGTATATCTACATATCGTAACAAGAAGAGAAGAGAGAAACAAGGGATATCATGAAACCGTCTGTTCCGCCTGTTGTTTCGCTGCTTCATCTTCAGCCTTCATCTCCTGCCACATTGCGGCAAAATCTCCCTTGAACGAGTCTTTGGCTGGGTCTAGCCGCACATCCCAGACATCCTCACTGCTGGGGCCTGTCTTGTACTTAATCGATTTCTTCCGGTTGTGGTCTCGGATCTCTCTCCTGCGCAAATCTTCCGGCCAAGTTCGTGTCTTCATACACAGCCATAGATTATCCCAGTGATCGCTGCATGACCGTAGTTCTCCATATCGATAAACATTCACAAATTGGCCTCCGAAAGACTGACAGAAGAAAGCGTAGTCGAAGGCATTGCGGCAGGACATGGTATCTTGGTAGAGGGACTCGGGAGAGATGGGTGATGAAGGTGTTTGCGATTCTGGCGATGGATTGCCATCGGGGGTAAGCCCAGTTCGTTTTGAGAGCGACGCATCCTCAGCTCTAAGATCGGCCAGGATTTGGTTGAATTCCAAGTCGGCTTGTTCGTCGGGAGTCAAGGTCTTCGGTGGTGCATTCTGTTTTGCTGGTTCTGTAGGAATTGTGGATGGAATATCCTTGGGAATATCCTTGGAAACATCCTTAGGACTTGATCCCCACAGCCAGCCCATTTTGTTTTGCGAAAGAAAAGAATTGGTGGATCTATCGCGACAACTTGAAATCGCGAGGTTATCTTTTTCGCGGTAATCAAGATGTCATGTGACTCAGATAACCAGTCACGGACCGACGTCATTAATTTGGCAAGTCGATTCACACTACTTGATCGCTCTTGCAAGCTTTTTTCTTCTTCTTTATTCGGTATGTCTCTGTGAGCAGAATGAGATCGACACCCTTATCAAAAGGTCCGTTGGCCCTTTGGTCTCCGACACGCTCTCATATTAGCGCCAGTGCGTCCCGGGGGTGGAGACCTCCGCCTTGGGGACGCTCGACGATACGATGCACATCTTCTATCAAGTCGGGGCATATTTCAGTAGGAGAAAACGAAGGGATTATCTATGTCAATAGTGAGCGCTGATTTATTGCAAACCATCATGTCTACCCTCTAACTAGCTCTAGATATATTTCCGCACCGATTACAATGGCTGCTGCGGGGACCCCTCAGCCATATCCAGCCTCTCGAGGGGTTTTTGGCACGAGTCAACAACCCAGGACTAGCGGCAGCTGACCCGACTCGTATTGTTCAACGAGCTTTGCCCAGAGACCTAGATCTGGAGATCAAAGATGTCGTAACAAGGTACAAAGAGGGAGGCGCATTCGTGAAGTATGCGCTCAAGTCAGACATCAGCAATGAAAGTATCCAAAATGCAATCAAGGAGCATTTGAAAACCAATCCCATTAAGCCTTGGTTCAATCCGATCCTCAAAGTCGATGCAGACCTTGTTCGCGGAACGCCGTGGATCGAAGACCTCTATCGAATCCCAAGCCAGACCCTAAAGGTGGAATTCTTGCCAACGTCCCCAGATAACTCAGCGGCCGAATTAACCCAAGAGTCCCTATACTCAATGTTTCGACCTTACGGCAAACTTCTGGACATCCAAACACAGCCCTCGGATTCGAAGGTCGAACCACGATATGCAGTTCTGCGATTCGAGCGCCCTCGGTTCGCCGTGATGGCAAGAAACTGCATGCACGGATTTATTGTCTCCGAAGAAGCAGGGGGTGGCAAGTCCGGTACAAGGTTCAAGATCAACTACGAGCGCAAGATCAAGCTGTTTATGATCAAGGATTGGATTTTGAACCATCCGAGACTGGTGATTCCTGCTATAGCTGCTCTGATAGCTACTATTACGGTTATCATATTCGATCCAATTCGCACGTTCTTCATCACGCTCAAAATCAAGTCGTCGCTCCAGAGTGAAGAGAATCCAGTGCTGCAGTGGGTTCGCAAACAAGCCAGCAAAGCGAGCATGTTCTCATTTGGGAAGCGAAAGTCGGACCCGCGAGGTCTAGCGGCTATCTGGGAAGATCGACAAACAGAGATTGCGCAATTGCGAGCCTGGTTAACGGAGACAGCCGAGACCTTCATTATTATCCATGGTCCCCGGGGCTCAGGGAAACGCGAGTTGGTTTTGGAACAAGCTCTGAAAGAGCACAAGTATAAGGTCATCATTGACTGCAAGCAAATTCAAGATGCTCGGGGTGATACATCCAAGATCTCACGAGCAGCCGCTCAGGTCGGCTACCGGCCGATCTTCTCTTGGATGAACAGCATCAGCAGCTTCATTGATCTTGCTGCACAGGGAATGATTGGCACCAAGGCTGGCTTCTCCGAGACACTAGATGCGCAGTTGAGCAAGATCTGGCAGAATACTGGTGTCGCTATGAAGCGAGTCGCCTTGGAAGGTAGACGAAAGGACGACAAGGACTTCAACATGTCCGAAGATGAATACCTGGAGGCTCATCCGGAGGTGAGACCTGTCGTTGTAATTGAAAATTTCCTCTATGACGCGGGCGACAGTGTCGTGCTCGACAAACTTACTGAATGGGCGGCTGGTCTGACATCCGCAAACATCGCCCATGTCATCTTCTTGACGACTGATGCCTCTTTTGCAAAGCCATTGAGCAAAGCCATGCCTAATCAAGTGTTCCGCACAATTGCTTTGGGTGACTGCTCGCTCGAAGTTGGTCGTCGTTTCGTGTTGAGCCATCTGAATGCAGAGGCAGGCGGTGGTGACGATGAACAGAATGCAAGGCGCAAAGAGACGCTTCGTGGCTTGGATTATTGTATCAAGGTGCTGGGTGGTCGAGTTACTGACTTGGAGTTCATGGCTCATCGAATTGAGGCCGGAGAGACCCCTGAAGGTAAGTCTATCTTTTATTCTACCTCGAGAATTTTATTCACTAGTGTATAGCTGCCGTGGACCGTATTATCGAACAGTCGGCGTCTGAAATTCTGAAGATCTTCATCATCGGAACAGATTCGATTGCACCTCAATGGACCCGTGAACAGGCGTGGCATCTGATCAAGTCTATAGCCCACTCCAAGGATGGAAGCCTGTTGTACAACAAAGTCCTCCTCGACGATATATTCAAGGACAACGGCGAGGCCACTCTCCGGGCACTAGAGCAAGCAGAGCTCGTCTCCATCGGAACCGACAAAGGATTCCCACGATACGTCAAGCCGGGCAAACCTGTGTATCACGCTGCTTTCCAACGTCTAGTTGCGAACAAGACCCTGCAGGGCCGCCTTGATCTGTTAATTCTCTCACAACTCATCGGCAACGAGAATTCAAGTATCACGAAGTATGAGGAGGAGCTGCAGGTTCTTGGATCGCTGCCAAAACACCCCTGGGAGCTAACATCGCGGATCGAGTGGCTTCTTCGCAAAGTTCACGGATCGCAATCGAAGATTCTCAAGTATGAGAGTGAAAGTGCTGCCTTGTCAAAGTTTTTGCAGAAGGAGAATTGAGCTTTTAGCCACTACTATATCAATCTCATCTCAATACCACTCCATTATTGATAACACTATGGTACTGGATCCAGTCCTTTCTTTGCTTGACTCTTGTTTTATGACTTCAAATTTATCCTGGGTATAGATCTGTTGTCGGTCTGAGAGAAGTATAAACGCGAACCAAGTAATATCAACATTGATCCGATTATTCACATTATAATCTGAGAATTTCCCATCATTATATAGAAAGAAATCAAAATCTGATTTGAAAATATTGAAAATCAATAAAAATCAACAAAAATAGAAACGACTTTGAGCTTAGTAAGCCAGAAAAAGACCCCGGCCTCCGCTTGCCATCGTGTCCCTTCACCCTTCATCTGGATATATTAATTGAAATTCTCTGGAATCAATTCAAATTGTCTGTCATACCCTATTATCTACCTCGAGCCCTTGAGTGGGTGCTGGCGCTGTAAAACCGTGTTATCTTGCATAGCAAGGTTTGTTTTGGGCATTGATTCGACCACAATGGAGAGGTACGAAACCTTGGGTCTTATACAGGCCATCCGTGAGAGATATTTCGGTGTAAATTGGTCAACGGTTTTTGCTGTTGTGGTGTTCGTATGCATCGCAACACGGATTATCTCGGGGCTTCAAAGTCGACGTGATCGAGACCCGTCAAAATCACAGGTGCGACTAGCACCTTATTGGTTTCCCTGGATTGGACATGGCCCTGCCTTCCTATGGAATCATGTTACCTTCTTTACAAGAACCCGGTTGGTCTTTCACTATATTGCCATCCTCCGCGCCTGCTAATGGGATTATAGAGAATCTATGAATGAGCCTGTCTTCGGCATTTACATTCGCGGTGTGAAGCATAATGCTGTAGCTTCTCCATCTATGATGAAGACTGTTTTCTCTGCCAAAGCTGCCACGTCACGCAACCAGGTGCTCGATCAGGCTCTGCAAAACGTCTTTGGCGACCGCAGCCTCATCCGCAATCTGGATTTAGATCGTAATCAAGGACTTAGCGACAAGGCTTCTACCATTCTCAACGAAGAGGTTTTTGTCACTGAATCTTCATCAACTATTATCCGTTTGGTGCAGCGCGACATGCCGAATCTGGTGAGCTTCTGCCGGAGCATTGTTGACCAATACCCCTGGGAGCGTGGAACCAGTGGAGTTGAACTTCCCGATGGAGGAGACCAGACAGTTTGCGAAGCCAATTTGTTTGCACTCGTGAGCAATTTCATTGGTCACGTCACTTCTACTTTCCTGATGGGTGAGGCATTCGTGGAGAATTTCCCTAATCTCTCAGAAGACCTTGGAAGAATCGACGATTGCTTTGTGACATTGTTCACTGGCACTCCTCGCTGGGCCCCTCATCCAGCGGCTTCAGCAGGGCATGCGGCGAGTGATCGGCTTCGCCATATTTTCTCGATCTTTCACCGAGCTTTTACTGCTTGGGACGATGGGATTGACGCCGGAATTGAACTGCGTGATCTTGACGATGTCTCTGAACTGGTCCAAGATAGGATGCGGACTTTCCGAAAATTGGAGCTATCTCCAGGCGCTAGTGCTGCAGGGCACTTGTCTCTGTATTATGATCTGATCGAACACACGACCAAGATCACTTTTTGGACAATTACTCATCTCTTTGCCGAACCTTCACTTCTCGATCAAGTCCGCAAAGAGATCGCCTCTTACGTGGTGGCTTCTAGACCAACTCGCGAGGAAACGGGTTTCCCCTTCGATGAACCTCCTCGTCTCTCTCTGAATATTGAAAAAGTGCTCACATCTTGCCCGCTGTTCAAAGCGTGTTACTACGAGACTGTGCGCCTTCATTCAGCAGGAATTTCATTCAAGAAGCTGGCGTCTGATGTGACACTTTCCGAGTCGACAGAAGAAGCCGCCTATGGTCTGACGGAGCCCCGTACATACAAGATTGCAAAGGGCGAAGATATCGTTGTGCCCCATGGTGCCTATCACCACGATGCTCGATACTTCTCAAACCCGGAGCAATATGATCCCCTACGATTTCTCGTGACTGATCCTGCAACGGGAAAACAACGGGCTGATCCAACCATCCTTGCTCCCTTTGCGGAGGGGTTGTATGGGTCGACAAACAATGGCTTCACCGAGCGAGCTATCTTGACTTTCACTGCTGGCATTGTGGCATTGTGGGATATTGAGCCCACAAGTGGTAAATTCCTCTCAGTTCCAGGACACAAGACTAGCTGGGGCGCTTTCCGACCGACTAAGGAGCTGCGGGTGAAGATGAAGTTGAGGGTATAGATTGCATTGGAGCATCGGATGGCATTTTATTATAGAGAGCCTTATAAAATTTACATTTACTCTAATTCTATATAAGACGACATATATACTCGGCTCGGATAAATATCCGGATCGGCCTTGCACCGATGACTCCATCCACTAAGGGGAGGGGGATATATAAGTCACCTAATTAAGGCTATACAAATTAGTTCTTCGATAGTTCCTAAATTCCTCTACTATTCAAATCGAAATGGACGAACAGGATCCCAACAAAGACTACGATCTCACAACCCCAATCACTTCCACATCTGGACTTCGCCAGGGTCTAACATCCTATGGAGATCCCCATTTCTCTCTCTTTCTCCGCAAAGTGTTTATCAAGGCACTAGGATATTCAGAAGATGCGCTTTCACGTCCAATCGTGGGTATTATCAACACTTTCTCGGGGTTCAATCCCTGCCATGCCAATGTGCCCCAGCTCATTGAGGCTGCCAAGCGCGGTGTGCAACTCAATGGGGGACTAGCAATAGAATTTCCTACCATTAGTGTTGCCGAATCATTCTCGCATCCGACCAGCATGTTCTTGCGCAATCTTATGAGCATGGATACCGAGGAGATGATCCGGGCCCAGCCGTTGGATGCTTGTATAATGATCGGGGGTGAGTTCCAATCGTTTTATTTTTGCATTGTTTTCCTGTTATGTGAGAATAGCCGCTAAACGAATTTAGGGTGTGATAAAACTGTTCCTGCTCAATTGATGGGTGGCATCTCTGCCAACAAGCCAATCCTACCACTGATTACCGGTCCAATGCTGCCAGGGAGCCACCGCGGCCAGCGTATTGGAGCCTGCACTGATTGCCGAAACAATTGGGCAGCTTTTCGAGCGGGTGAAATTGACGTGGAGGAAATCTCGGCCATCAACGAAGAGCTTGCTCCAACGGTATGTGTAGATGCCCTCCCATCAGATACAAGGCCATTTAGTTCGCTAATCACAATGGTTACTCGTTCAGATAGGAACATGCGGTGTCATGGGAACTGCTAGTACAATGGCTTGTGTGACTGCGGCGTTGGGAATGATGCCGCTCCGGGGCGCAACTGCACCAGCAGTATCGTCCGCGAGACTGCGAATTGCCGAGGAGACTGGCGCAAATGCAGTTGCAATTGCAAAGTCTAAGAGAAAGCCACAAGAAATCTTGACAAAGGAATCATTCTGGAATGCCATCACCGTGCTCCAGGCTATCGGGGGTTCAACAAATGCCGTCGTTCATCTGCTCGCCATTGCAAATAGGCATCCAGAACTGCAGGGAGTCATCACTCTAGATACTATTGAGGAGATTGGCCGCAAAACCCCACTGTTAATTGATCTCAAGCCGAGTGGAGATAACTATATGAATGATTTCCACAATGCAGGAGGCATGATGGCGCTGTTGCAGGTGCTTCGACCCCTGCTCCATTTATCTGCTATGACAGTTACTGGGCAAACGCTGGGTGAGGTTCTCGATGCGTCCCAATCCAAGCGACTTTCCTTTGCGCAACAGATTATTCGGCCAATGTCAGACCCCTTGTTCCCCGGGTCATCCCTGGCTGTTCTGCGTGGCAATCTTGCCCCAGACGGAGCGGTACTTAAAGCCTCGGCTTCAAAGTATCGGCACTTACTCTCTCACACTGGACCGGCTGTAGTATTTGAGAATTCGGCTGACCTTGCTCAGCGGATCGATGATCCAAACCTTTTTGTGACGAAGGATAGTGTGCTGGTCCTGAAAAACATTGGTCCGGTTGGCAATCCAGGTATGCCAGAGGCTGGTCTTATACCGATTCCAAAGAAGCTAGCAGAGGCGGGGGTTAAGGATATGCTACGACTTTCGGATGGTCGAATGTCAGGGACCGCGGGCGGAACCATTATCCTCCATATCTCGCCTGAAGCTGCGCTGCCAGAGTCACCATTTGGGGTGGTGGAGACCGGTGACTTGATTATTTGCGATATCGAGGCTAGGAAGTTGCACTTGGAAATTTCCGAGGCAGTATTGCAGACTCGAATCGAGAAACGCAGACATAGTCTTGTAGGAGAAACACAGGCAAGAAGGCAGAGGAGAGGCTACCGCGGGTTGTATGAGCGATCGGTGAATCAAGCACAAGAGGGAGCAGACTTTGATTTCTTAACGGCTGGAGGTGCCAGCACATAGAATTTATTTCATATACAAATTCAATATTCAACAATATGACCTTCGATCCATCGAACCTTGAAATGTCTGGAAGATATGGGGCCCTTACCCTGAGCCCTGAGCCCTATCATATTACCCAATCAGGTTAAATCAATTAAGGCGCGTACCTAGGTAGCGCGAACGCGTCTGACCTTGTAGATCCCTGGCCATTTGCGATCCACCAGATTAAGATTGAACGATGCTCCAGACTTTCTAATTGAAACTTGATTGAATTATCTACGTCAGGCCTCGTTTGCAATGAGTTTCGATCCTCTCCGCCCGCGGGGGCGCCCAGCCCGTAAGTCATGCTGATGACTTTGGGAAACTACAATAGTTACTGACAACGCGGCATTCACATAGACACACCTGGCGCAACGATACTGGCCTACACACCTGACGGACGACGGATTATTACTGGTGGCTCCAACTCGGCAATTCGTATCTATACGGTCGGCGAAGATGGAGAGCCCAAGACCATCGACGAAGGTGTTGACGCGCATTTCGGCATTGGTGCTACGGTATGTTGGAACAGAAGACCCAGGATCCGCCGAAGGAACTGACAGGATTGCTAGAATCGGTCTTTCATCATGGGTGCCGAGGATGGGACAGTCTGGAAGTACGACATTATGTCGGGCAAGATGCAAAACTTGCTTGTACGTTGTGCTTTGCCAGTCAGGGACATTGCAGTGACGAGAGACGGGGAATGGGTGGCGGTAGCAAGCGAGTAAGTCTTGCATGGATTGTGCCAGACAGGGGATTGGATGCTAACATTGGTGGGCTAGTGAACTCACAGTCAAGATTGTGAAAGTCGACGACATGACGCAAGTCAAATATCTTCGGGAACAGTCCAAGGGAACGAAGCATGTCACATTTGATCCCAGTGGCCGATATGCGACAGTATCCGGAACAGATGGAATTCTATATGTATACTCCATGCACGAAGAGGAGCCGGAGCTAGTCCGCAAACTCGATGGAGTGATTCGACGACTGGAGCCAGACGCCGAGGCGACATCGAGAGCAGTGTGGCATCCCGATGGTACTGCATTTGCTTCTGCGGAAGCGACCAGAGATATCTCTATTTACTCAACCTCGGAATGGAAGAAAGAGAAAACATTTACTGGCGGCCATACCGGCGACATCACGGCCTTGAGCTGGGCCCCGAACGGATCTCTTCTGGCGTCTACAGCGGCAGATGGATATATTGTGCTATGGGAGGCGAAGACACAAAAGATCTTGCAGCGATACGAGTTTGGAAATGTCGTGAACCTATCCTGGCACCCGACCAAGAACTCACTTTCATTCACGACTTCAGACGGAGAGCTTTTCATCTACGATAACTTTGTGCCGAAGGATCACGAGTCTCTGCTGCAGAAACCGCTGCAGGCTGCTCCCATCTTGCCCGGGCCTCTAGGTGAGATCTCCAACAATGTTGGGCGAACCACACTGGCGGAGCGTTCCAAAGAGGCCATCCAGCGAGCGGCGAGAAGAGGAACCCCAGACTCGCTGGATGATATCCTTGGTGGAGATGACCAGATGATGGATTTTGTTGAGGATGATGATGGGGCTGGCTATGCAGATGAAGAGTTAAATCTGTATGGCAAGCGGCCACACGATGATCTCGACGATGTCGGCGGCACTAGTAACAAGCGCCTTTACTCTGGCTCTGAGAAGCCCAAGGCCCATCCGCCTCTTCAACCCGGTAGCACGCCTTGGGCTGGAAGTAGGAGATATCTTTGTATGTTCTTGTTCCAACTTCATTGAACTGGATTTGCTAACTTGGCTAGGCCTGAACTTGACGGGAGCTGTCTGGACGGTGGACCAGGAGACACATCACACTGTTACTGTGGAATTCTATGACCGAGAAGCTCATCGAGATTTCCACTTCACTGATCCATATATGTACGACAAGGCTTGTCTGAGTGAGTTTTCCGCTTATCCTGTCTTTTTGTGTTGGAATTTTGCCTGATCTGGTATAGATGACAACGGAACACTTTTTGCCAATAATCCTTCGGATGGTAGTCCAGCCACTATTTTCTACCGGCCACACGAGACGTGGACTGCGCGAGCGGACTGGCGGACTGAATTGCCCGAGGGAGAACAAATTCGAGGTAAGACTTCAAAGGACTATACTCAATCTAATTATCCTACTGATGCTCGTTATCAGCTCTCGCACTCAGCGATTCATACATTGTCGCTGTGACATCAAAGGACTATGTTCGAGTGTACACTCTCTTTGGAACTCCTTTCAAGGTGTATCGACAGAAGAGCCAAGCCGTGACTTGCGCGGCCTGGCGCGACTACATTATGAGTATCGGAAACGGCCCTATAGGGATTGATGGCCACGCGACCTTACGATACACGGTGGAGAATGTCAAGCGCGACGAGATTTGCCAAAACGAAGACACTGTCGCCCTTCCGGAAGGGGCTTCACTACAGAGTGTTTTCTTCTCTGATAATGGGGTAAGCGCCATCAAACAGAAGGGTTGGCTATGGAATTAACCATGTTCTTAGGATCCTTGTATCTACGACTCGACTGGCGTCCTACTAGTTTTGCAACACTGGCGCATACCCGGCCAAGCCCGATGGGTACCACTTCTGGATACGAAGCAAATGGCACGTCTCGCAGGAGGGCGGAAAGAAGAAACATACTGGCCAGTGGCTGTTGCACAAGACAAGTTCCACTGTATCATTCTCAAGGGTGGCGACAAGAACCCTTACTTCCCACGGCCGCTGCTCAGTGAATTCGACTTCCAGATCCCGGTTGCCAGTGCTCTTCCGAAGGATTCAAACGAACCCGAAGACACGGCAGCCGAGGGTGCCCGTTTCGAGGAATCATTCGTACGTGGAAACGTACTTTTGTCCCTCTTCCGCGATCTTCTCTCGTCGACCAATGCGACGGCAAGCCAGCGCTCTGACTTGGCGCGGAGGGAGCTCGACTTGGATAAGAACTTGCTGCAAATGCTGGCCATTGAATGCAGAGAGGGCGAGGAGCGTGGTATGAAGGCGCTACAGCTGGTCGCCTTGATGACGGACCGCAACGGTAAAATGCTTGAGGCGGCCGCAAAGATTGCACAGCGTTATGGACGTGGTGTCCTAGAGGACAAGATCCGCGATCTGGCTGAACGACGTGTCATGGGAATGGGAGACGATGATGAACTGGCTTGAGGATGGGATTCTTAATAATACTTTTAACATACCGGAATTCAGACCTGTAGACCTGTAGACCTATTAAACTGTTAAACTGGCATAAATAATAAAATTGTATACCAGAGCATCGTGATTGGCTCCCGCAACGTCATTTTCCCCGTCCCCTGACTCCGCGACTCCGAGCCGAGTAACTTCAACCTTCAACTTATCTACATGGCTTGACAACATACTAAAAAACAGACTGCTTTTGAAATGCAGAATGCCGAAGCTGGTCTCTCTGCGCACGTCTCTTCCCGGTCAGCCGAAGAGCCCTGTCTCTGGCCGGCTTTTTGCTTCAGTTTCACGACAGCGACTGGCGCAACTTCGTCATGGCCTTCTCAATGAGCCCTGGCTACCCCCAGCTTCAGCTACACCTCTCCCAATCACATACTTCTCCCCGGCTTGGGTGCGGAGGGAACACGTGGAAGGCCCTCGGAGAACCGATCACAAACCGCCAGATGAAAGAACCTTGAAGCTCGGAAAGAGTGTGTACTCGCTATTCCCTCATTCATTTCCCAATAGGCCGTCTAACTAACGATTAAAGCTTTACGAACCCTCTCACCCCTCTTACCGACCATCTTGTACAACACCTTACCCACCGAAATTCTCGCCCCGAGTGTGAACCTTCACCTATTCCCATCCACACATCCACACCTCCCCACTGTCAAAGGACGCACACTCTATCGCGCAGCACTATGGACTGTCCCGGTAGCATGGAGTAGTGTACCATTAGTCGGCAATGTGAAATTGCAAATCCTCAGCGAAAGGATCGTACGCGCCGGGACGCTGCTCGACCCCACGCATCACGGCGCCCACCACGACTGCGGCGATGAACGCCTGCTGGTACGATGGAAAACCGAGCCACGAACAGACAGCCGCCCCTTCCATGGCCCAGCCTCTTCGAATACCAATTCTACAGACTCCTCGAAAACTGCCCTATCCTCACAAAATAGCCATCTTTCGGCTTCCACAAATGGGACCAACAAAGGCTTGAGCGTCCTTCTCGGTGGTGAAGAACCTATTTTCAAGCTGTCAAAAGAAGAGCAATTCACCGGTATCTTTATCTTCTCTTTCGATGAGGAGGGTCGCATCCTGACACATACTATCGAGCATGCCGATGAAGCAGACGGCTGGGACCGGACTGCTAAGTTCGTGACTCTCACTGACTGGCTCATTGGCAAAGCGCGTGGCTCGTTGGACCCGGCTATCAATACTGGACTTGCCATGGCGACTGGTCAAAATCATGGGTTTGCTTCTGGCAGTGGCCGGAGATCGTGACTGCACTCATATTCGATCATACCTCGAGCGGATCTCTCATTAAATGAAAAATCCCGAAGGTAATGAACTAACGTACAATGAGCGCTGTGTTCGTGTATTATTTTTCAACTTTCTGCTGTAATGTATTTTGTTTTTTTGTTTCAAACATCTTTTGATTCAAGGCGCAACGGCGTCTGGTTATGAGTGTCGAAGGATGGGCTGTTTTGACATTGAACTCCTCTCTTTCACCTGGCCTTTTCTGTTGGCATCCTTGAGACATACTATCACCACTCTTCTGTGTATTATACCTGTTACCAACTATAAAAAAAAACCAGGCAACAATGATGAAATCACTGTTATACATTGAAAAGTCGTTTTGTAGGAATTGTGCTTTCACCAGAGCCTACGGTCTGCTACTCATTATCCTTCTAACTATAACACCGAGAAGAAAATATACAAACTGAGTGAAGAACAGTAAGCCTAGAAGACAACGTAACTTGAAAGCAAAAACGATTGGCTTTTTAGAAAAAAAGAGGGAGATGGAGAGATATCTTAGGACTGATACATACTGTCCTCGCATAAGTTCGATATGAAAAAAAAGGAATAGTAAGACATTGGGACCATCTTTATATTAAGCATGCTTCCTACAATATTCCTCTATGTACCTATCCATGTACATTACTCCTTTTTTTTGTGCACAGCAGGCGACTTCAACAAGCTAAAAACCGCAACTGTAACGACACACATGGCTAACCCGCCAGCAGTATAAGCAGCCTCACGGCCAGCCCACCAAAATAGAGAGCAAAACACAATAGGACCAGTCGCCCTACCAGCCTGTCCCCACCCCCGCAAACGACCCATGACCGCGCCGCGATCCGCGTCCTGCGCCTCGAAGCTGCCCAGGCTGTTGAGTGACGTGACGACGGTAGCGGTCGTTACCGCCAAGAGAGCACCGGCAGCATAGAGACCCGAGGGCGAAGAAACGCGAGCAAGACAGAAGAATGAGATAGTACAGGCCACAACGCCAGCACGGAGGGTGATCAGTGGCGGGAGACGGCGCACCAGCGTTCCCTGAAGGAGGGAGGCCACCAAGCCCATCAGAGACAAGAGACGTCCGTTCAATGCGGCAGGGCTGGCGGTCGTGGCTGATCCTGCGTAGAGCGTTGTGGTCAAGAAGGGGAGGGAGAACTCCAGACCGGAGAAGGGAAGTAGGAAGAGGAAGTGGAGGGCATTGAGAAGTGCTGGGTTATTTGTATGGGTGCGCTTAGCGGGAGCACTGCTCTTCTCTACTGTCTTCTTGCTTGACGCATCATTCTTCTCGGCGGAGGTACTCTCGCCCTCCACCTGAAGAGTCGTCAAGCGGGGATGCGTCTCGGGCAAACAGGCCCAAAGATACACAGTTTCAATAAAGATCAAAGCAAACGACACAATTGCAGCGACAATGAACGGGTTCTCGGCAACCATATCGATACTGCTGAGTGCTGCACCTAGCGCCGGCCCAAATGTGAAAGCGACGCTGAAACAGGCCCCGATTAATGCCATAGAGGAGCCGCGACGCTCCTCGTCTGTGATATCCGCCACTATGGCGTTGGCCATTTGCACATTCGCCTCGCTCAGGCCCCCAACAATACGACTGGCAAGGAATGTGCGGAAGTCCGTGGCCGACACCCACAGCGCGACACTCAAGAGGTTGCCTAGCATGGATATGAGCAGGGCGCGACGGCGGCCATGGCGGTCAGATAGGCGGCCTATGACGGGTGCGGCGAAGGCTTGGAGGAGGGAGAACAAAGAGCCGAGGGCTCCACCGAGGAGCACGATGTCATAGCGCGAGTCAATGGGGCGCGCGAAGGAGTTTTTGTAGGCGTTTAGGTAGTGGAAGATGCGGTTGAGGAGGGAATCCGGGGATGGATCTTGCGCGCGATAAAACGATAGCAGAGAAGGGAAGAGGGGCAGAACGAATGTAAAGGATATCTGAAGGCAACGTTAGTTTGAGTAAATGTGATTGTTGGCTTTAGAAGGGTATCTTGATCTTACCAAATCTAACAACAACGAGAGTATCAACACCTTCAGCACCTCCTTGCGTTGGGCGCCAGCGATGGGCATTGTTGCTGGCGCCGTATATACAGAAGATGTAAGAAAGGAGGAAAGAAGCAAAAATGTGTAGAATGACAAATATCTCGAGAAGTTGACACTTGTGCAAGAGTAAGATCAATTTAATCAGATTGAATATACCGGGAGCTCCACTGGGCGCGTCGGTGCTCATTTCCTATCGTGGGTTAGCGCCCTGCGCTGAAAAAGGGTTTCATCCAAAAATGCGCTAGTAATAAAGGAATACGCGTTTCAAGTGCCTTTCAAGCGTATTCGGTTATTTTCATTAGGTCATGCATAATGGATTCGCACTTGATTCGGTCTTGTGTAATAGCATTACATTACACCACTGCACGCTAGGCTAGGAGATGTAACTCCGAGAAACCCTGTTTCCTCGCAGTGGGTACATCGGATCACGTGAATGTATACACCTTGGCTTGGACGGTCTCGTATACAATTGGTATACCTCCGTACATAGTATCCTCTGCCATTGACTAGTTACTGTCCACCTATTCTAGTAGTAGACCTAGTAGACCTTGTTCTGCCTAATGAACGCGGTCCATATTAAAAGATACTAGTATCTAGGCAAATCCTGGAAAGTAAGGGTGCACTCATTATGATCAATTTCGATCTATGCCCGACCTAAGCCTGTCCACCGGTCCGTTCAAAAGCGCCGATAAAACAATAGCCATAGAATACATATGTATGTCGTGAGAGAAGCTCCGAGGATCGGGAATATGCACGCTGAAAAAATTGCAGGACATAGTCAAGAAGACTTTGGCAAAGCCAGACGAAGAGATCAAAGTGACTCTCCGTGAAGAAAATTCGTTGCGTTCGTGAGCCATCACATCGGATCAGAAATTGCTGAGGCCAGTCCCGAGAAGACAGACCCAGGAATCCCTCGTTGGAACCCTAATTTCGGGACAAAATCCCAAAACCAGCAGGTTCCAACTGACATCCTAGGATTGCCACTCTTACTCGCTGGACGCAGGAGCTTCCGCCGAGCCAGAGGCAGGGCCGCTTGCACCGCCTCGACCACGTCCGCCACGACCGCCTCGTCGTCCACCACGTCCACGACCCTCACCAGCACGACCCTCACCTCCACGGCTTTCGCCACCACGGCCTTCTCCATCACGACCCTCACCAGCACGCTTAGCGTCATTCCGGCCTCGGCCACGGTGTCCCTGTCCGTGACGGCGGCGTCCACCAGACTTGGCACCGTTCTCGCCCTGAGTCGCAACATCAGCACCAACGGAACCGTTGTTCAAACCCGCATCAGCGCTAGCCGGAGTAGCCTGGAGGCCAGTGTCGGTCTCATCAGGGTTGCGAGGAAGCTTGACCCATTCGCTGCTCTCATCGGAAGTAGGGGCCCAGGTTTGCTCCGCAATGGAGTTTCCAGCATCAGAAACCAGAGTCTGCGCAGGAGGGGCCAACTGATCGGCTTCGGAAGCTGCAGGCTCAGCCTGAGCGCCGATAGAGGTATCCTGGAGCTCGGTCAGTCCAGCGTTAGCCACGGTAGGGTCGGTTATAGGGTCGGTGGCAGGGGTTGCCTCGGAGGCAACTTCGGGAGTCTCCTCGGGTGGAGCGAACTTGTCAGATGCTTGCTTCACGTCGCCATCTGAAAAGATCTAATGTTAGCAAGCACATTCAAGGATATTTGGTGGGGGTGCGGGTGGGGGTGGGGGTGCGGGATTCATTACTGACAGGTAAAATCAAGAGTGGTGCCCTCAACAGCATTGACCTTCTCATCGGCACCCTCAGCAATCTTAAGTAGCGAATTGACTGCAGACTGGTTGCCAGCATACACCTCGAACAGAACGCCCTCGAAAGCACGGCTCTCAGTGGTGACGGCATCCCCGTCGCGTCGAAGGATGGCCGCGGCGCACAAGAATTTAGTCACGGTATAGAACTGCTGGCGCAGTGCCTTCTTGGAGGCCTCAGTCGCATCAGCAATGGCGTTATTACGGACAGCTTCGAGCTCCGCCTCATGCGCCTTGACCAGCGCAGCCTTCTGAGCAGCCAGACGGTCCTCGTATTGGACAGCGAATTGCTTGTAGTGGCCAATCTGCTCCTCGGCCTGGGCAACGGTGGCCTGAAGGGAAGGCTTCTTAAGGACCTGGGCCTTCTGGTCGTTGTTGATCTTCTTCTCCTCAATCAGTTCATCAAGCGACTTGTCGGGGTTTTCGGCGATGATGGCGTCGACTTTGGCGAGGGAGTTCTGGTCAAAACAACAGCAACGTTAGAAAAATGCATCAAAAGAAACAATTGAAAAAGGAACATTCGATAATGACTCACCAACTTCTTCATGGCATTGCGAAGTGTCCTAAACAGGGCATACAGTTAGCTCACTTTCACTTGCGCATAGGTAATAACCATGCAACCAGGTTCATAAGATTCTAGACATACTTCTGTAGCTCCTTCAAGTAGGTACTCTCTTGACCATCAGAGCTGGGACTCTCGAGGTCCTTGGAGACGCTTGAAGCTCGGGAGTTACCCTTCTCCTCGTCCTTGAACTTCTGGGTAGCGGAAGCGGGAGGCATGATGGGAATGTGGGTAACACAGATATTAAAGTATCTCCGAAAAGCTTGTACTGGTCTTGAAGAGATTAAACGTGATAACGTTGAAGAAAAGACGGGTGTTATGAAGGAAGAATCAACATGCGGGTCGGGAAGTGTTTCTTGGTCAGTGTGGCCCACTGGCTTTGGGCAGACTCTCTCTTTACGCGTTAGCTCGCGAAGCAATTAAGCAATCACAGCACTGGCCTATGTCTACCTAGGTAAATGCACAATTTACTAACTAATTTGTTACCTGATCATTTCTTCCATTGTATTGCTCCAGGGTATCATATTCACATTCGCCCACAACGCCATAATATCACAAAATACAACCCAATCTTAGTACAGTACCTCCTCGCCTTTCATATTCATGTCGGGCAGGTCTTCGCCATAATGACAGATCGATATTATTTCCTGAGCTCGTCTATCCCTGGAACTTGCGCAGTGTTTTCTAAAGGAACCCAGACTTGTCAGCTGTATGTTCTCATGAGTCTTCCAGAAAAGCTCTTAGATCGACCTCAAACAACACACCTCAGTAACTTTGCGCACGGTATTTGCTGATATATTTTTCTCGCCAGCCTTTCGCGACCGAATCGATGCCTCGCGCATTAACCTGCAATGTGTTAGCCCATTGCCAGTTCAATCATGTCGGCAGCGAGAGCGCGAATCGGAGGGTTGGGACCGGTGGACCAAGCCACAGGGCTAGATGGAGACGCACTCTTGCATAAATAGCATGTAGTCCAAGAAGATCTATATAGCTAGGATTAGCAACTGGATAATAGAGAGGCTTCATATCGGGACGACCACGCACCAGGATGTCGGCATTCTTGCTTACACTCCGATTGGAGTGGGCTTTGACAATTCGCTTGACTGTTCCTCGTGGATAAAGCTTCTGAGCTGCCGCCATGACGAGTAGAATAGCGGAGATGGTGAGGTGGAAGACGGTGTTCAATGTTGAATGTTTAATGTTTACCCCCAAAAGGGTGTGGGGAGCTCCCCAATCTGACCGAATACCGTAACTAATGATCTGTTTCTTATGTAATTTGGTATTTGTAATTTCCGGCATGTCCGAAAGTAAATCTTTCATTATTATATACATCTTTATTGCAACTGTATATTGCTAATGTACACTTCAATGCAGTCGTCGAAGAATTCGCCAGGCTGAAACACCAGCAATTGAGCCAATGGCTACACGCCAGGCCAAGAAAACCCAGATTGCCAGGCGCAAGCGGTCATAGTACCCGCGGAGCATGATCCCAACAGCATAAGTCCCATCTGTTGCTTGGTCTGTCGGACCATAATATCTTCCTACTCCGAGACCACCGATACCCACTTCATTGTGATCATGTTCGGGAATCGTCTCCTGTGTGACTGCGAGTGCGGCGGTTTCGCTATCAGCGGCCGTGTTACTAGGACGAGCACCCGATCTCACATTGAGTGCATTACGCTTCCGCAGATTATAAGACACAATGCTTACAATCAGCCGCAGATCAGGCACAGTGAACGTTGGATATTTCCACAACTGCACAGCCTGGTGGGGAGGGAGCATATCCAAGAAGTCAGCCAGGATGCCGAGGGTGAGACCCCAAAGGAGCAGCGGACGGGCAGTGTCACTCGACTCCGCTTGCCCACTAAGACACCATCCCCTGAAGCGCTGGAGCAGGGAAGGTTTGAGTGTATTCTCTTCAGGAACAAATCCTGGAGTTGGAGTACATTGATGAGTTTCAGACGGCAGGAGCCTCACGGCCGAGAACTGCATCCAGCCCATCAGAGACCGGATTGCAAGACGGGTCAGAAACCCGCCTTGTCGAGCGAAGCGCTGCGACATATCCACATATTCCACGGTCCGCAGCGATGGTGATAGAAGGGCGCGCAGGGGAATCCAATGTATCGATGCTACCTCTGTGGGCTGCAATCTAAGGGTCGGGGAGTCGCTGCGAGTCGTGAGGAAGACGAAGGGACAAAGAACCATCAACCTGCCATTCAAGTCAGTAATCCGGTTCTCAGCGGCGAAAGTGAGTGGCATTCGTACGGTTCGGACCCCCAGCCGGTAGTGACCACCCGCTCAGGGAGGTTGCCCACGCTAATTGTATCCTCCGTTGTCAAATCCAGTCCGATTTCCTCTGAAGCTTCCCTAATAGCTGCAGCTTTATCATCTGCATCTTCCGGGTCCCGCTTTCCACCCGGTAGGGCAACATGGCCAGTCCATCGGTCCCCCACGCGCGAAGCACGCTTGATGAACAGAACCTCCGGTTCGCCATGCTGGACCCATGGCTGTGAAAAGAACTCGTCTAAACGTTGTTGGGCTGGCTGAGAAGCATCTTTTGTGGGGTTTGAGCTGGGCCAATGGTCGTAGGTTGGTCGTACCCGGATAATCAAGGCAACCGAGGCGCGTTTCTTGCAGGTTGGGGGGTTTGGGACGTAAGGATAAGGTTGACGATGGAGCTCGGTTAATACGCTATGCAGATGATGGGACAGGCCCGGGCTTTGCGTAGACTTGGGCTCCATCGTGTGTATCTAATACTTAAGATGTCAAAGATCCTTGGATGGAGGGATATCAGTATCGGAGATGTCCATGTGCACGTCCCTCTCTCTGGTCCCCACGGTGGCGATATCGGTCTAGCCCGTACTCCCGTATTATCCGTACTGTAAAATAATATACAATACTCGGAACATAGATTATCCGAATAGCTAGTCATCCTCCGGTTCATTACTGGACTCTGATTGGTCCCATCCAACGAGCACGTGCGTCTATCGCTGGCTACGAACGCTTTCAGTTCTGAAGCTGCGACATCGTTATCCATCGCTTAGTTTCAAGCTAATGAGCTATTTTTTTCGGCTTCAACTGAATATCAACTCTTACCTCGTTTTTTTTCCCCCTAACTGAAAATCAACCTGTCTCAATTCCTCTCTCTTATCTCTTCCTCCCTTCTGAATCCCCCAATCAGAGGTGCACACCACCCGGCCATCTCTGAGTAACAACTGCACCACGCAATTTACAATCGGACTGGCTCAAAATGCGGTTTGGGAAAACCCTCCGTACTGCAGTGTACCCTCCCTGGAAAGGGAAGTACATTGACTACACCAAGCTTAAGACCTTGCTGAGAGAGAATGATGTCACCCGAGACGGAGAAGAGGCCAGTGATTCCGATGACGATCAATGGACTGAGCAAGATGAGGAAGCATTTGTGCAGGAACTGCTCAATGTACAACTGGACAAGGTAAATTCTTTCCAAGCAGAGACATCGCAGCAACTCCGAGAACGGACAACAGCATGTGAAGTTAAACTACGACCTTTGGCATCTACTCCGGAGCAAGAAATGCCCGTTCTCGATGAACAGAAGAAAAGGGCTATTGCCTCAGAAGTTCTGCAGGAACTCGATAACATCACCAAGGAAGTCAGTGCCTTGGAAAAGTACAGCCGAATCAATTTCACTGGCTTCCTGAAGGCTGCAAAGAAGCATGACCGCAAACGAGGAGCCCGATACCGGGTGAAACCTTTGCTCCAAGTGCGACTGTCGCAACTACCGTTCAACTCAGAAGACTATTCGCCGTTGGTCCATCGGCTCTCGGTGATGTACTCCTTCGTTCGAGAGACCCTTAGCCATGACATCGTGCAACCAAGGGAGGCAGAGCATGGATTTGGCCGTGAGACCTATTCATCTTACAAATTCTGGGTTCACTCAGACAACGTTCTCGAGGTCAAGACTCACATTCTTCGTCGATTGCCGGTTCTTATCTACAGGCCGGGAACTTCCAAGGACCTCGATACCATCACTGAAGACCCCACCATTACTTCTCTCTATTTTGATACCCCTCAGTTTGATCTCTACAATCAAAAGGTCGCACGAGCACCCGAAGCTGGATCTTTGCGGCTGCGCTGGACGGGATCACTGAAAGACAAACCTGTTATCCAGTTAGAAAAGAAGATTGTCACCGACGACGACGAAGGTCGACAAGTTAAGGTACAGCTCAAAGACAAGCACATTAAGGAATTTTTGGACGGCGAGTACCGCTTCGATAAAAAGCTCCACCGCATGGAGGATTCGCATAATGGAGAGTCGGCGGCCGCCGAAGCCTTGAAAAAGGACGTGGATGAGCTGCAGTCATTCATCAAGGAGAATGACCTGCAACCCATGCTCCGGGCCAACTACACGCGCACCGCCTTCCAAATTCCTGGCAATGATCGCATTCGTATTTCTCTCGATACCAACCTTGCGCTCATTCGGGAAGATGCCCTCGACAGTGAACGTCCATGTCGCGATCCAGCTGAGTGGCACCGTACCGACTTGGACGATGCCGATATGACTTATCCCTTCAACGCTGTCAGGACTGGGGAGATCACTCGCTTCCCTCACGCTTTGCTCGAGATCCAGCTTCGAGGCAAGGCCCATAACACTGAATGGGTCAAGGACCTGATGGTCTCCCACCTTGTCAAGGATGCTCCCCGCTTCTCCAAGTTCGTCCACGGCGTTGCCTCGCTATTCGAAGACTATGTCAACAGTTTCCCCTTCTGGCTTAGTGAACTTGAAAGTGATATTCGCCGTGATCCCGAAACTGCATTCCATGAGGAACAAGAGCGACTGGCTCGACGAGCAGAGGAGAACATAGCAGTGGGCAGCTTCATGGGAGACGCGCGCAGCCCCGGTGTTCGTCCACAGGTCGGGTCACCTTATCACCAATACTCTAATGCAGGCTCTCCCTCGGCCATACGGAGATCCTCAGCAACCACCGAACCTGCAGCGCGGCACCCACGTCCCTCAATCCCAGAGCCCCAGCGCCGTGATACCGAACCCGCTCCTGAACCCGAGGAAGAACCCGAGCCGCCCACTCGCCTTGAATCCATCTTTCAATCCTTGGGGCTATCTCAGCAGCGCTGGCTTGGAACGGAATCTGTCTCTCTACCACCTGGCGTTCGACACCCCGGCGTCTGGATCAAAGATGCCGGGCCCGTTCGTGTGGAAAGTAAGGTCTACCTTGCCAACCAGCGAACATTTATCAAATGGCTTCACATCAGTATTCTCCTGTCAAGTTTATCATTGGGCCTCTATAATGCTGCCGGCAAACACAACCAGGTAGCCCAGGCACTGGCTGTCGTCTACACATT